TACACACCCAGTGACATCAGCCCCGCATAATTCCGTATCTCCCCCATGACGAAAGCAACGCGTCGCTGGTATTGAGAGAAACGTTTGAAGCTCCCAAACTCATTAGCAAACTAGGAGTGGCAGAGACTAACTCCTACTCCATTGATTTCAGAACGCGTGATGCATGAATCACTCCCACCGAGGCAAAGAGCCGATGGATGGAACTGAAAGATTGCTCTCCTGAACAAAAGAAATATACGTCCCCTAACCCTCGTTCTCTATGCAATACAATCAGGCAGAAGCACGCATAACTCTTTGTTCACCCATCTGAAGTGCGTGCAAGTAAACAGCCAGCTGGAGATGAGGGGATAGGAAGATGCTGGGATGTTCAACTGAGTAAACACAGGGTGGGTTCCAAGGAGGGAGAGAGCCACAGCATTAAAGGAAACTGACGATAAGGAAGGATGTGGTGAGGATGTATGGGATCAAATGCAAGGTTAAGAGAGAAAGACACAAGAGGAGGAGGAAGAAGCGGAGGCTGGAGGATACTTCTACGCTTACAAAGGAGAGGCGAAAAAGAAAAGGAATGAAAACTGACCGAAACTACAAGAACGTAAAGGACATTGCCTAAGAAGAAAAAGACAAACAGATTAGAGGGCCAGTGACGTAAAAATGGTGAGAGGCATAAACATAATAAGCAGATGACTCAGTCAGGTCTGCGCAACTAGACGGCAGAAGCTGGAGTCGGAAAACTGAACGGGCTTTTAATGTGCTCTATAGTAAGAGACACATGTATCATTTGTGTTGGAAGGGTTGGAAGGGTTGGAAGGGTTTTCCCTCGTTGTTTTTTTTATTTTTATTATCATTGAGGGTGGAATCGATTCGTAAAGGAGGTTTTAACTCAAAATAAGAAGGCCATTCATTTCAGGGGGGTGGTGCTGAAACCTAAAGCAATGCAAGGGGGTGGGGGGGTGAGGGGGGGGGGGGGGGGTGTCACACCATCCCAATGAGAAGCGAGTGGAAAAACGTGTCAATGGAACACAAAGAGGAATCCTGTGAATAAACAGAATCGATGACTCATCCTTTCTTGGATGAGGGAGATTACTGTGGGCGGGGGTGTGGATACCAAACCAACTTCACTGAGACTCCAAAGACACCAGCGCGCAAGCATTCGACTCCAACTCATGTGTCGCACTCAGCCGGCTAAGCCGGGACAAGCTGCCCATTGTCCAGCTCTCCTGCCCCGAGCTGCGACTCCAGGCAGGGCTGGGGTTTTGTATTTAAGGGATTTGAGGGATTGCGGGGGTGAACATGTGTGATTGGAATAACAAGATTTTTAAAGGATCAAGCTCTGGGCATTAGTTTTTTTCATGTTTTTTTCCCCCACAACTCCTCTTATTTTCATGATAACCATAAAAGTCATGAAAGCGTGAATCACAACTCGCTCCTCCAACCAGTCCCCAGAGACCCCACTCGAGAAAAACACTCAAATGTTTGTCTCAGGTTTTTGAATCGTGGACATTTACTATGTTTGGTGACTAGGTGTGCCACGTTTGCTCATCATCCTCTGCAGAGAGCAGCCAGAGCTGACTGGGTCTGTGGCGCCTGCTTTGAAAGGAGAGGCAGGAGTACCCTGAAAACACCACTTTCATACAGTCTGGAATGTGTGGAAAGTAGGGCGCTCCTAAGGAAACAAAGGGCAAGCGGGAAATCCCTCCCAGAGATTCAGAGTGATCTGTAATCTGCGGTGCCTTTACGCTTCAAGACACAAAGCCATCACTGCTCAGACAGGGAGATGCAAACAAGGCGAACGCTCACTTCAGCCATTTTAAGTGCATTGTGGAAATGTTCACTTGGCTCATGGGTTCAACCAGTCGACAGCCATACAAAGACTGTAATGTTTGATTATCCTCAATAGAGAGTTTACTACAATGACAGTAACTACAAAGGCTCATTGAGGGACCCTGTTCATTTGGGATTTCTGTAAACTACACGACAAATCACAGGTGATCATGGGCTTCCGTGTGCCACAAACACCGTTTCAGGGATTGACGATAGCCATCCTAATGGATCGGTTCTATCAGACGGGGCTATTCAAAGCTGGGAATGCATGTAGATCTGCAGATCTTACTTCTAGCTTAATGTTGTCGAACTGCACAGTCAGACCGCGTGGTGAACCTCTGCAGCCGGGGGGGCAGCGCACACATTGGTACAGATAAAATGCATATTGATAGGTCTGCGCATTTTAAATTAAGAAAAGCTGTCGAGTTACGGCTTGAGTGCATGAAGGCAGGAAGTGAATGCTAGACTGGAAAGCATAGACTTAAACAAAGAGAGGTCAAATAATTTCAAAGCTGTGTTATCATAAACTATCTGAAGGGACATAATTCGTTAGTGTGTCAGCATTGACTTAATAATTCTAAAAAACAAAACTAACGTTTTAAAAGCTCACAAACTGAGATGATTTCATTTGCCATTCATTTTCAAATAATAAAAACTACTAAAAATGAAAAATGCAGAACTGTTTGATAAACATTCTCCTATTTGATTGACACTTCAGTTTTTCGCTCTCACAAACCTGCTTAGAGCCCCGCTGAGACTTGTTCAGTTCGTCCCTTCTTGATATTTCATTTTAAATGTTTTTCTCTGCTTTCGTGCTCAGCAAACAAAAGTGCTTCTCGCTTATGTTTTCATCTCTGACTCATCTGTCACCAGTGTGCTGCAAACTCGACCTTTGGCCCTCAACCTCAGCCAGTCACCTTCATCACTTCCACAACTACATTTTCTGAGTGACAACATATATATTTTTTCACTTTCTTCTAAGCAAACTAGTTCAAAGCTCATTTTAGACATTCTGAATCAGGTGGTCATTCACTCATGTACACATCTAACTTCTTGCTCCAAACCCAGAGGAGACATTTCATTTAAAGGGTTAACACTAAAAAGCTAAGTCATGTCAATAATCCGACCTATCTCTTTCCTATCCTGGAGTTCACACGATCTCTGAAGGCAGCTTGTTGAAACGGTACAATGCTGAATCAATGAGTGATCAAAGAATACTTCAGTCGGCAAAAGTCAAAGAACAAATATCGGCCTGACTTCAATTATGATAACCAGCACTAATAACCTCGATAAGAAAAATATTGGTGCTTCAGCCAGATTTCATGTATGCAAATTGCCACAACAGTGAGATATCAAAGACTGTTCACAGAACAGTTAATGACTGTCATATCAACACTGTGAAAGACTGACAGCTTTCCAGAGTTTCCTCTAATGATTTGGCGCATAGTGATAAAACATAAGCAGTTAATAAATCCAATGTGCAGCAGTTGAAAGGGTTTAATAAGACTATAGACGGGTGTGTTATGAACCAGTTAGAGAGGTTTTTATGTCTGTAGGGTAGTTATAGGGGGAAATGTTTGTGCTTAATCTTTTTTAACGTTTCCTTTACAGGCAGTCAGGAGGAGAGACACAAGTTTTATTACAGATTTGAAAAAGAATGGCAAAAGTGGAGGAAACACCCCAAAGGGCACCAACTGTAGCAATGCAAACCTTCATGCAGCAGCCGTCTTCACATTGAACAAGACATGCCGAGTTGTAGTCTGACCAAAGAAAACAGAAGTCAGTGGCGTGTTTACGACGACATAACGAAGACACGTCTGGAATGGTGCCACGCGTGCCCCGGCACAAACCCCATAGCCAGTGCATGCCAGAGGAGCACGGACAGGAAAGAACAAAGACGGCCATGCTAAGACATATCTGATGAGTAGATTGGGCAAACTGGCTGGGGAAAGCTGCCTCTGCTTCCTGGAACAGGAGCGTCAGTGGGGAAGTTTCACCAAACCTCTTTGAGCGGGGCTTGGAAATCGACAAATAATCAGCCCATCCGCTAACAACCTGAAAGCTGGGATAGCCTGATCCTCCTCGAAGTGTTTATCAACTGCATGTAGTGTCGATTTTGACACGAAGACCAGATTTCCCATAACACACGCTGCTTCCTGTCGCAGAGAGGATGTTACCACTTCTGCCCCCTCCCACCCCACCCCCCCTTCCAACACTTGTCGCTGCACATGTGTGTTTTCTTTTTGGTTGAATTCACATGATGAAGGCATCGGGGGGGGGAAAGCCGGCGGGTGTGAGGGGTGGCAGGATGGATCGTTCCTTCACACAAGCTCACGCTAGCGGGCCTTGGAGATTGCATTGTTAAACAGAAGTCGGTACTATGATTCTATTTTTGTGTTGTTTTTTTGTAAGGCCTTAGCAAGTCAACAATCCAATGTAAAAGCTGGTCGACAGCTTAGAGGGGAGGAAGCGGAAATCAGCGAAGTGCTCAACGTTGAGACCAAATGTGGCCTTCTGTGCTCTTATGGCATGAAATGCAAAACTTCTGACACTCCATAAAGGAGAAGTGAAAGGGGCTTTTGACAATTGTGTGAGTTGGAAGGTCACGGGAAGTAAAGAACCTCTACCTGCAACAGGGACATGTTAGGTCTGACAGCTCCAGATCTGCTCAGATTTCCACACCTATGGACTATTTAACTAAACAAACAAATAGCGAACAACAGTGTCCATCACCTTGATATAATCCTGGGTGTCTGTGCATGCTAATTCATTCAAATTTGGCAAAGAAGCATGTGAAGCGAAGTGTGTTTGCTACGCTTCAGTGGCCCTAACGGGGGCCAGCTGCAGGACGCTCACTCTGGCTTTCCCGCTAACTCTAAACTCTGCCAGACATCCCTCCGCTACTGTGCTCTGCTGGATGTGGCAGAGCGAGGCCTAATTGAACACAATGTTCTCTCCTGGTGTGAGAAGAAAAGAAAATCCAACTGCTGTAATTGTTGCAGAGTGAGAGCAGAGTTTTAGTGGGACACAGATACAAACAGGAAAGGCTGGTAAAAAAAAAAAAAAATGGAAAAGGCTGGTTCCCCACCCCCACCCCCACAAAAGGCAATAGACATCAACAATTACCATCTTCCAATAGTATTTTCTCTTCACATCCCAAACGGTGTGCTGGTTCTTACCTTGGTGTCAACAATGGAGCAGGCTATTTGCTTCACATAGGCCAGGTCAGCAGTCTGGGGCAACAGGACGGATTCTCTAGTCAGACCGATCTGGATGATGAAAGAGACTCCCGCCGGGGTGGGAGGCAGCGAAGGCATCACGGCCCCAACGGGGCACTGGACGGGTGTCAGGTCCATCACGGGAAAGCCACCCTGGGCACTCACAGAAGGCATGGATATGGGGGTCCCCTGCCGCATCACAGCTGAGCCCGGGGGTGAGGGACCCCCCGGGGGGAAGAAGACCTGGGCCATCGCCCCCGAGGTCATGCAGGGGCTCGCATTAGCCATTCAGGGTCCACGGGCTCTAGTTTGCCGGCCCCCCCGAAGCTCTCAGCATACACGATCGCCAACACACACCCAGGTGGCGTTTAAAGGAGTCAGAAAAAGCCACAGTCATTCAAACAGTCCCGGGGGAGCAGACGAACGTGCACACAAAGTGAGCGCACGGCCCCGGTTCCTCTGAGTGTCTTTTGTCGACTCTCCTCCACTGGAATCGAGGACGGAATCCTTTTCCAGGAAGCAGAGTTTTTACCTCTTCTTCGACTCTTGCTGTCGTGAGACTCCTTTTATTGACCGGGCATGTCACTCATGAGCAATGAGTAGGAGAAACTCAGAGAAAAAAAATAGACCCCGTGGGAGAGAGCTCTCTTCCTGCTGCCGTTCCACCTCCACCTTCTTCCCTCCTTCAGTGCTTTTGTCCAAAGAAGTGGCTCTGCAAAGGAGAAAGTCCAAACTTGGTTGTGAAACTCCCAGCCATGGGTGAGAGGAAGAAGAAGAAAAAAAACACACTGCCAAACTTTGTTGTGCTCTGCTCCAGGGCTGTGTAACAAAATGGCCTCCTTTAACAGGAAACCATGAGAATGAGGGAGAGCAAGAGAGTACACTCTTTTTACAAGTCTTACCCTGTTTCAGTTTCAACCCCAGTACCTTTTTTTTTTTTTTTGCTGCAAAAAGCTCAGAGAGCTAGAGCTGCGTTAGGGCGCCTCCCTCAACCCTCCCTTCTGCCCTCCTCTGCCCTCCCATCTGTTCTCTCGCCACAACCGAAGAGGAAGTGAAATGACTGACAAAACCTGAGCCCAATAGACACCGAGAAAGTTCCGCCCTCTGACTCTCTTCTTCCAAGCTTCTCCCTCCTCCCTTTCCTCTTTCTTCCCTTCCTCGGTTTAGGGTTGTTTGGCTTGCCGGAGCCCTCCCTCAGACGGGGTCAGCACAGATCATCTTACACTGCCTGAGGGGGCCAGCTCCACCCTCCAAAACCCTCCCATGACTTCCTCATCCTACCTCTAACTTCATTAGCCAGTTTCTGTCCCTTTGTAAAGCTGGATCTGTTGCTTCTTCTCTCCTGTGACACCCTCCCCCTGTTACATGTTGAACAGACATGCATTCCACGGGCATTTCCATCTCAACAGTAGCAGTGTAAACTGGAAAAGGTGGGGTCGTTGATAAGATGACATCACCGAATTACAATTAAGGCTCAGCAACCACCGTCAGCCATATGACTGTGACTGCTTTTGGTACCCTAATGATCAGCCACAGAAAGAACGTATATGGTTTTCTTATCTAGGTTACAAACCGCCAAATACTAGACTCCCCTTATCCTGTGTGTTATCTGTTGCTCATTTTCTGCCCATTGCCATGATGCAACACTATCATTTAACATCTCCTCTCAACTTTCCCCTTTTAATAAAACAAACTACCCACGGGCAACTATTAACAATCAAGCAAACAGAAACCTCAAGCACTGGCAAAAGATATTGCCAGGTTATTTCCCCACCACTAGAGGGCACAATTTCTTTTAGATGGATATTGCATAATTGGTTATGAAAAAAACATGTGACTAGTTTATGGTTTCTCACAGCAATTTGGTGAGAACATAAAAATCCACTGCTTGTTGATTACATAAAAGGCACCATTACTGGATTAGATGAAACATCTAAACAGAGCACCACAGTATTGTTGAATTGAGGAAAATAGGAATTAAACATTTGACAAAGAAAACTATTTTCTTATTAATATTTCAAAGTTTAAACATGATATCCTTACAAGGGTGTCAAATCCATGATTCTATTCAATCTTTACGCTAATTAAGAGTATTGAACTCATAATAACCTGTGAAATTGGCCATGAAAGGCGCTGCAGGGAGTTTTGCCGACAATATAACTATTCTAATTAGCTAACACCAGGTCGATCGTTGATGGTCGTGCTTCTGTGGTGTATTATCTTATACCCATTAGATTCAATCCCTTCCCTCTATACCAAACCAAGAAAGACACAACACTCATTTCACTGTACAAAATTTTCTTTTTTTTTGTTTGTTTTCTTTCTTCATGACATCCAACAGGGGACCCGTAAAAACAAAAGTCATTTGATACAAGCTCGAATGCTGTTCAAAAATATATAATAAAAGAAAATCAATAAAAAGCAGGTCTCTTATCCCTTGTAGTTAGAGGAAGTAGTTTGAATACAGCTTAATATGATGTACAAAATATCACACAGTGATAAATTGCTAATAAAAAAATAAAAACAGAAAAAAATTAGAGTCCTTTACCTTGGCCTCTGACTGGTAACAGATTTTTGTTTTTTGTCATTTCATTTTTTTTTTCAAATTTTTTAATAATTTTGTTTCTTTTTTTCAAAACATTTTTTTTACATTGTCATTATCAATCACAAGCAAGTTCTATGCCTAGCAAGGAAGAATGATTCACTTATGATACTACAGTATTCTTACATCTTGATAATCATAAAAAATAAAGAAATACAAGAAAGAAAACAAATAAATGAGAGACATTTACAGCATATTATGGCAACTCTAGTCATCATTTACAACCTCAGTTTCAATTTCTTTTTTTTTCCTTTATGTGTCACACTGATTTGTCTTTTCTCTTCTTTCTTCGCAGAGGGCACACAGTTAGCGCAGGGTGAAAAGAAAGCAGCTGCTGACCGTCAGAAGCTGTCAAATGAGTGTGAGCCATAGCAGGTTCCACCCCCACAGTTTGCACTTCAGGTTGTAAAACAAACGCCTGCAAAACACCGTTTTTTCACCCTGTATGTCCACTCCTAAGCTAAGCACCCACTTTTAAACGTAGTGCAACATGGAGCTATTTAGCAGATAAATGTGACAACACATTATAACCTGCTGAAGAATGATTATGTAGTGGGACCTGTTATTTTTTGTGTCATTCCGTTGTTTTTTTCTGCTTTGACACAAAGAGTAGATTGACATGTCATCTATTTCCACACATCAGTCCACCACCCTGTTTCAAAAACGCATATAGATGAACTATGAATGCTAGTGTTGCATGATTCTTGAAGGATTGTTTTCAACTTCCAAGCTACTTTTAATACTTTGATCTGACATCTTACCCCTTATGTGACCCTGTAGTTTCATCAAAGTAAGACCACTTTCTTGCAGTCTTCTCAGGTAAACAAAGATCTATCTACTGAATGAAAGCATATAAAGACATCCTCTATTGTTACTGTGTGAACGGAGTATCTGCACCTTTCTAGGCCACTCAACTATCAGGCCATGTTTTCGAAATTAGATTTCAGACTACATGTCCTCTCTCTTCTTTTCTCCACAAAATGTTTTAGTTCATGTAACCAAAGCTTGGTTTCAATGTACTTGGTTGATGCTGCTCACAAAACAAGCTCCTGGTATCTCCTCCCCATAGAGTTAGCATGTTCACATGATTGCAGAGATTGATATAAATGCAGACCACAAATAAATACAGGTGAGGTGTCTCAGAGAAAAGCTGTAGAAAAAGCTGAAAGAAAATAAACAAAAAACTCAAGTGATCTCTGGGTTATGCCCAAAAGAAGAGAATCAGATGGACAGGTTTGGTGCTTAATTATGTCACTAATATCAGAGGACACCTCAACACAACAGGTGAAGGTGATGCCAACCTTTTCTGAAAGCCTGGATAGACTGAAACAAAGCAGAACCAGCCGCCACCCCCAGGCTGGAGCCAAAGTGAAAAAAAAGACCATTTCTAAAATGAGAGTAAAAAGAAAAGTCTCGGTTCAGCAGGTTCTCTCTGTGACTGAACCGGCATCGGCTCTCCGCGCTGGTCGAGCCTAAAACAATCAGCGTCCACATCATTTACATCCCTCTGTAACAGTAACAGTGACGGCTCATTCTGAAATGTGACTGAAGTTAATGAAATGACTCAACAATGAAATGCAGCTTAAAAAGGTGGTTCATACATCTGTAGCCCCATGAGTGAGAAACACATTCACTCTGTTTACACAAAGAACAGGTCCCTGATTCTGACTCAAGACTGACGAGGTCTTCAATAGCACCGCGGATCAACTAGTGCGCTTACTCATACACACGCACACACATATTCCTCTGTACAGTAAAAAGCACCAAATGACATAATCGTTGCCATTTGCAGAGGGCGTGCAGAGCAGCCTGACACCCCGATAGTCTGCTGACTTTCGCTGTGCTCTCAGAGAAGCGAGGGAGCACCAGGCGGCAGAGTCGAGTTTGAAAGGAATCATGACCAATCATGACAGGTCGTCTTTTGTCATGTACAGCAAAGAGACATTTAATCTCAAGGAGCACGCACACAAAGGGGCAGAATCACCGGGGTCCGCTCATTAGACAACTGAGGAGACCAAATACCTTGCTGACTAATTTTAAATTAAAGCTATTTGTTTGATACTGTTCGGCAACCGTCTCCTCATATCAAACACAACCAAGTTCAACAATCTCTGATCCAAAGTATGACCACACGCACACAACCTGGACTCTTTGGAATGTAATACACTAACCCCCAATGCAGGGTTTGGGATGAGTGTTTCTGTTTCCTCTCAACACTGGGAACCGTTACTGTTTTAGGTCAGGCTTACAGGTTATGTTAACCACAAGCATTTTCTCAACCATTCAAAAAGAAGTTCAAAATGTGCATTTGTGCAGTGTTTCCTTGTTGGTTGTCTGTAAAATGCGGGTAGTGTGTGTCAGCAGCTGAAGCGCGCAAACATATACACAAGGTGCTTGGTAATAGTCATCGGCTGGAAAGAAAAGAATTAAAGGCAGAACAGAATATATAAGATTGTAGTGTAAAAAAGTGATTACTTTAAAACAGAGCAGCCAGGATCTTATAAAAAAGCATTACAAGAAGTGATTAGTATTACAAGAAGTCACTGAGGCATCAGAGAACAGTGTGGAGTTGAAGGGGAAGGGTGGGGGTGAGGTCCTGTGGCCACGACCCAGCCAGTGGGGTGCAGGACATTACTGTGTGAGCAGGAGAGAGCGGGTGAAATGGATCCACTGTGGTCTTTAGTCTCTTTTGGTCCAGTTGTTGTTGGAGGACTCTAGAAGTAAACGAAAACCACAAAGTTAGACCAATTGTTTGCAACTGAAAATGAGTAATGAAAAATCCAGTGTAACCACAAACGCATCTAGGTGATAATGGGCAGGTAATTTGACATTTTTATCTATAAAATACATTCTTACATTTTAAAGCTTTCTTTGGAATACATTTTTTTTTATATAGAAAATCTGTTTGTTACATCTTTACATCAAAGATATAAAGTAATAACTACAAATACCTGACAATAGAGCAATACTTTCCCTAATTCAGCTGAGCTCAATGTGATCTATGTGCTGTTTGGGTCTTTTCTTCTCACCAGAATGACCACAGTGCTGTCACACAAAGATCTTGGCAAGTGCATCTGCGCCGGCACTGGCAATGAAGGGCTGGGAAGGGTGGAAGGCCACATCATGAATGGCCTCATCGTGCTTTTTCCTGTGGGCGGTGATCTCCTGCACGCACGTCCTGTTGTCCAGCATCCACAAGCGCACGGAGCAGTCGTGACCTGGAGGAAGGAAAGAGCAGGTCTTCTAAGGGACACAAGTAACCGTGGAGAGACATGTAAAAGGAACCTTCTCCAGCAATACAGAGTCTTACATGGTGGAGGTGAAATAGGGTCAGAGAAGTAGACATTTTAAAGTGTGTGAACTTCAAGATTTCAAAGAGATATGCTAGGTCATACTCACTGCCAGATATGAGGTAAGTGCCTTTAGGGTCTGTAGTAAGACAAGTGACCGCGTCCAAGTGGGCCACCATTGAGTGGACGACTTTACCTGGATGAAAATACAAGGCAACAATATTTGGCTTCACTTAAATCCAAGAAAATACGTTCTACTGAGTACGTAGAGATCAAGAGACAACTTTGGGATGACACGGCAAGCATGGCGTCTCACTCATCATTCATCCAATACAATCTGTATGCGATGTATTCATATCCAACTTGTTACATCTAGAGTTTGACCTGCTGATAGCTTTACATTTAGTCCAAAATGGAAATAGGAGGCTCTGGATCTGGTAGCTTTCTCAGAAACACGCCCTGCGTCTTTTATCTAACTACCATGAATACATCGACATGGCAAAACGTTTGGCATAAGCCTGAGCGAGTTTCTCCAAAAAAGTACCTGTCTTGTTATCAAGGAATCTGATGGTGCGATTCTCATGTGCAGTGATGGAGACTGGCTCTGTTGGGTGACTCACAACACGGTTGATCAGTTCACTGCCTGTAGGAGGAAACAAACTAATCAATCCATTTACATTTTTTATGCAACTAATTGGTCGATGGTCCCTTCTGAGTCTCTCGATGAGAGGAATTAGCTGTTTATCAGGCATACCGTCTTTTGTCTGCGTCTCCAGTACAGTGACACTCTGCTCTGTGTTGAGGTCGTAGAGCAATGTCTCGCCAGCGTCAAACGACACCACCACCTGGTTGGGGTCAGTGGCCACAAAGGCCACTGAGGTGGGTGTTCCACGCTCTGTAAAAGAAAAAAGAAAAAAAGGGAGAACAAAAACATGATTAAGCTTTGGAGACGTGCAAGATGTTAATTCTGTTCTAAACGTAATTTTTCATTCTATTTTCTTTTTTTGGTCACACTGTCTTATTGCCTCGTTTAATATGATGATGCTTTTTTGTTAGTTGGTTTTCAGGGTTTTCTACTTTGTCACTGAACTTTCTGGTTTGCTGTCATTTAAAGTGAGCGATATGCTTCGCTGTTGTTTTGCAACTGAGTGCCTCTACCCAACCCAAACGTGTACCTCGCTCCTTATTGAAGACAGACAGACAGGGAGACGAGTTTTGAGGATCCCAGATGCGAATGGTGGCGTCAGCTGAGCACGAAGCAAGACGGTGGTGAACTGAGGAGTAAGTCAGGCCCCAAACGCTGTCCTCATGGCCCGCAAGTACACTGCTCTCAATGCCAGGATCTGAACGAAAGAGAAACGCATTTCAACGCAAAACACTTGGGGAATATTACTGAATAATTACCAGATACTGAATATCAATTACTCACCATAGTTATCATATGGATCTACATTGAGATCAGGCATCTTCCAACACCTAACAGTTCCATCCAAACCTCCACTATAGCAAGACTCTCCATCCTCGCTCATTGTCAGAGACAGAACCGCTCCACTGCGCAAAATCAGACGGTCAGTGGCGTGGTGTGCTGGGTGCAAACAGGCGGTGTTATTTGTTTAAGAATGGACTAACCTGTGTGCTCTGAAAGTGTAGATGGGCTCCACATCCAGAGCTGCATTCCTGTGGACAGTAAAAAAATATTCCCAACGTGCTTCGAAGTTGAATTTCTCTGCTCTGTATAAGTTCATGCTTATGCAAAATCAGCAGAAGATGAGAAAGCTGTTACTTTTTAGAGTGCATGGCCTTGTTGAGGTTCCACAGTTTCAGTGTACCGTCCTCAGACGCCGTGAGCAGCACTGCTTGGCTGGGGTGAAAGGTCAAGGCCCGGATGGCATCAAAGTGGCTGCGTAGTGTAAAACGCGGGTTCCACGTCTTCTTGAACTCCTCTCTGTTATCCTGCATCTGATGGGACACAAACACACAAAAGGGGGGGGGGGGGTTCACACCTTTTTAAAAGTGCACAAAAAGGCTGGATTACATTCTGAGGATTGACCAGATCAGATCTGTAATTACATCCATAGAGAGATCATTGTCATTGGCGACGGTGAGATCAGCCAGTTCACCCAGGTTCATGTCCCCTCCTCCAACTGCATCCATAATGAAGACATCAGAGGAAAAACCCAGAGCACCACCTGCAGGTAGGAGGTGGTGAAGCACAAGCGTTATCTTGCATTACACCCTGCTGTAAAACGTTCTGCACGGCAAAAAATAGCAGCAAGCTGTGTCCATTCATCCTGTTTCCTGACCCCCACACCACGTAGGAAGGAAATGTTTAGAGGTGTGGGAGTATCCTTGCAAGTTTAACTGTTGCCAAATTTTATAACTGCACAAACTATGACAGCATCTAAATTCACTCGGCTTCAATTGTGTGTGGGAGGAAGAGTAAACTCAATATTAATAAATGGGAAAGGGCAATCCAGTTTTTTTTTTTTAAAGGTGTTTTAGAAGCGGAAATCTTACCTTCTCCGGAACGAGCTTGTCCCGATACAGAGGGGGGTGGGGTAGGTTTAGGGGGGAAATCCGACATCATGCCTTGTAACTTGTTCCTGCGGTTCTCTGAACCCGGCAAGAGGAGAGAGACAAAAGATCCAGTCATGCCGAGAAACGGATGAGTGACGGAGAGGCCAACAGATGGACAGGTGATACAAATGCAGGCAGAAAGAGGCAAAGGAGATTTCTCAATTAGTTCTATCCTTACAGGAGAGGGTCAAATCTAACAGAAAAATCTACTGTGTAAACATGAGCGAAAGAATGAAATGTGAACATATAACGAGAGGAGGTAGCATGCATGGTAACCTTTGCAAATGGCCCCTGCACCACACAAAATACACCTACAGACAAAGATGACAGCCACACGGCTCCAAGGAGTAACAGACTGACAGCTCGTGAAACAGGACAGAGAGACAGGTGGTTGGGAAAAGAGGTTGGTTTTATTGACAAGAAGAGATGCCAAAAGACAACGAGAAGTAAAAGGTAAAAAGGTGAGCGAGGGGAGGCAAAAAAAAAAAAAAAAAAGACAGGTTCTCTGGTGGCAGTGATTCTGGCAGTGCTGGTGATGTTGCTATGGCAACAGCGTACCTAACTCCCGTCCATCCCCCGATATCCGGGCCTCTCCCGCCCCCTCCCCATCCTCCCCCGAGCCAAGAAAGTCAAATTCACTGAGGGCGTCTTCTGAGTCGTCTTCGTCCTCCTCATCCTCAGGGTCCAGATCTGTGGTCATCGGCTCTGAACTCATCTGGACGGGAGAGGAGAGCACTGATAAGTCATCAGTATAGTGTGTAGCTGATACTTTTTTTTATTTTTTATATACTGATCTGACCTTTACGCGAGTCTTTTTGTTTTTTCGAGGACCATCGATGCAATCAGTGGCCATGCCTTGGAAGTCATCTTCCTCATCACTGTCATCTTCATCATCATCCTCACAGCCATGAAGGAAAGGGATCTTATCCAGGACTGAGCCACCTGCGCGCACCTTAGAGCTTTCCTTACCCGCATTCCTATGAAAAGATACATGGTTTGTTTCTTTCATACAAATGTTACTCATTTTGATAAATAGGGCCAGCAAAATAGTGAACGCCATGTGAAAGTTAGGCTGTAAAAACACCTAAAACAAGCGGTGCTGAAATGAATACATTTCCAGATTTTAGAAACAGTTCCCTTGGTAATATCCCCATTTTGAGCAGCTCTAAGTTTGGCCTGCCCATAATGAATATTCCCAGATTACTCTGAACAAAGACATTTTGCAAAGACTGCTCTGATTTCAGTCTACTGCCCGTAAAAGGCTGACTACACAGGGGTACTTAAAAAAAAAACATTAAAAAGTTAAAAAGCCACATCCCTCTACAGTTTTTGAAGCATCATCACTTCCGGCATTACAAATAGCCATGTTGTACTTTATTCACTTTTAGAGTATCGTATTCTACTGATGTTTGAGATAAGAATGAGAAAATGCTCTTCTAAGTAAAACCAATGAGTCTCGCGTTCTTAAAATATGACAAAAGAATTGACTGGCTGACTTGAAATAAGCCAACCTACCCATGTCATATGCAGCTTGTCTGCCTGTCAAGCCTCTAATTTGATACACAGCATTGTTTGGAACAGAATTATACACTGCTTCATTAATAAATAACTGTCAGACAATATCTGTTTCATTATCATTCAACAATCCTGATGCCCACACCCACTCCCACTCTCTGGAGCATACAACATCTGTTAGATGGTGTTAAGCTTAGTACACCATAATCTCTTTAGGTCATGTCTGTCAGTTGTCTGTTGTTGTGTTTAAATAAGGCTTAGTCTGTTTTTATTGGATTTCAAATAAAAGGAATAAAATGTGTTCAAAGTGTAGACTTTTGCCTTTAATTCACTTGTCATCTTAAATCAAAAACTATTATCATTTAACAACGCATGACTTTGGAAAACTTTGGTGAAATGTTGTTTGCACAAAGTCTAAAAGTTTTGGATAAAGTTGAATGTTGTACTAAAATTAAGAGTTTCCTTCTTTGTGATACCAAGCGTCTCCCACACATGCTCTTAGTTGGAGCTTGTTTTAGCCGTTAGTAAGAGGATGCTTAATGGATTTAGAGCTCAGCTGTGATTTGGACAACGCTCACACAGTAAAGTGCTATCTAGTTTAATTGAATTAGAAAGCAGAAAGTACAGCTCCCCACACTTCAGAGAGCATCCTGCTGCTTTTTTCAGCACCCCTCATCATCACCACCACCAGTGACTCAGCTCCACTGGCAGCAATACTTGCCAGTGCTATCCCACTGCCTCCAAAATGTTAGAAGGATGACTTGCTATACTTTGGGACACCTCTAGTTTCCTTTTTGAGCCCATTTGCTTCTCATCACTCTGGCAAAAGCTTTTTCTTCACTCGTGAAAAGTAACACTGGGCTTCGAGTTGCTAAATGTGGGCTGTTCATTATGCCACAAAATTCAGATTATTACACTTATAACATGCATGAAGCAAAAATAGTGAGAATAATTGCTTTCTCAGTCTCACCTTTTAATTTGTTCCTCTATTTGTCTGACCAGCAAGGACTCTCCACCTGCTCGTGGCTCAGGCTCAGGAGGGCTCTCACCAGATGGGGGCCCGTTAGCCTCTGGGCTGCTCCGCCCCAGCAGAGACCGCACACGTTTAGAGCGCATATCCAGAATGGTGTCCGAATAACCGACTTCCTCCAGATATCTAAATTTGAATGGGGAGGAGATCAAAGATTTCCACACACCCACGCAAAAAGTTTTGGACAACAATACACACTCGGGCAAAAAGATGAAAGGGAAAAACGTACTTGCGTAGCAGTTGACGGCCCTCCTTCCAGGACATCTGATTGGCTGGCTCAGAGTCAGACTCAGCCGGCCCATTGGGAACTGCAGAAAATAGATTATGCGGTAGTGACACAACAGGAAGGCATGAGCAGAGATAGAACAAAGCAGATCATGCAGCTGCAGACATTAAGAAAAAACATAGCAACAGTAGTATAAAATCTATGAAATCCAAATAGCAAAGTGGTTAGGAGATCATTCAAACGTACGTTGATCTGCCTCTGTCTCTGGTTTCTTGTCTCCAGGACTCTGGTCACTTCCTGTTTTCAGTTTCTGGTGCTTGGACCTGCAACCAAACAAAGGAGCATATGATGGTCACGTTACAGGCAAACACAAGTAAATCTGGGACTAAAAAGTACGTTTGTCATGGACATGCAAACCATTATGATGACAAACGGGAATGTTGGCAAGAACAGGAGTTTTAAAAGGATGTGTGTTACCGTTCTTGTTTGAGGGCATACTCCAGCATTTTGATCCGCCTCACCAGGTCCTGTTTCATGTTCTCCTGCCCTTTCCTCTCGCCCTGTAGAAATGCCACCTGAGCCTGAAACGCACACAGTCACAGGAAGGAAATGAGCACAGAGTGTACTGTGACAGACACACACCTGCCACAACCACTGTCATCATTTTACACGCAAAGTCTCAAAATGATTCATACCGATGCCAGAACTTGACTGCTGTATCAGAGTAGGGGTTAATTTTTTTAGTTTTCTTGTTATTATTTCTTATTCCGTCATCAATTCTTAACTGGGCAGCTTTTGCTGACTCCTGTCCAATAAACATTTGACATTAATGTTGTCATTAACATCCTCAGCAAGTATCCCTGGCCTGGTTTATGGGAGCCTGTTGACCCTTAAATTTAAGGCAGAACATAATTTCTGAATCCTGCCCAGCAAGGGGTTTCTTCTCCACTTTCAGTTTGTGCTCACGCAGGATGAAAAAGTGAATCCTGGAAATGTTTGGATGGAATCGGTTGACATCATGGCGGCTTTTTTCCCCCAAAACTGGTATTACACGAACTACAATCTTTTGGGATTTAATTTATTAGATTTGACTGAATTACTTTAGTCAACAGCAAAGAACTTGATTAGTTTGAACTGAACCATATCATCCAACTTTCCTGAAATGAGTTTGTCCAATTTTAAAGCTTATAAAAAAAACTGAATTTATCACAATAATATTCCTCCTGGGTCCCATTTGACTCTGAACTTTACCTCTTTGGTGATTTTCTCTTTTGGCTTTGAGCCTGAATGCCATATTTGTAATTTCTTGGGGCTTCAGTCTGTCTAGATGTTGATCCTATTTTGTTGGTTCTTAACCACTTTGTTGTTGGTTTAAAAGTTTTATAGAAAGTCCAGTGCTGTTCAAGCTAAAGCCTTAACAGACTGCCAAAAGCACCACCATTGTGGACATTGATTAACATTTGGATAACCAGCAGTGTTGATCTTAGCTTCTCAAACATAACAGATCCAGCAGGACATGACTGCTCTCCATCACAGACACAGAGCTGCCTTCTGTAGAACACAAAATGAAACCCCATAAACCTTCAAAAGCTCACCTCAACCAAAAAATATGTTTCTTTTCTTTTTAATCTAACATTTTGAACCAGGAGAAACTTCTTTCAATTATGAAACTAAATAAATTCACCAATGAGTAAAAGTGCCAAGCAGTAACTGTGAACTGAGTCTGACCTGAAAAGCCAAACTAAGCTCTGGAAACCAAGAGAAATAAGTAGAGGGTTGTGGAACAGGGCTCTTGTTTTTAGCTCGTCCTAACCAAGAAGCTCAGTGTGGAACAAATACAAAACAAATTCAAACAGCCTCTTTTAGAATGCATCCTTCCTCCTATTTCCAGTTCATTTCCTTCCCCGCCCCAGATACAATTCCTAACTCGAGGAAAATATATTTTTTCCCAGACCATTATGGCCATTTGCATTAAAAAACTTCTTGTGAGGGAAAAAAAGTTATGGTCTTGAGTTTTTTTTCTCTCCACAGACTAGATCAAATGGAGGATTTCCTGCTTTTAAGCCGTCGCCAAGCAGTACCTAACAAAAAAAAGTGGAAGGGCCGCTAAAGTAAAAGATACTGAATTATTTGACAGGTTTCACAGATGAGAGCTCATAGTTCACATCAGACAACAATAATAAATCCCTCTCTTGGCTGGGGAAGAAAAATGAACCTTAAAAAAGAGGCTGATCCCAATTCGAAAGAGGTTAGAAAAACCCAAACCAGTTTTTCACACTGAGGATTTAAAGCAGGCGAGTGTGCAAAAGCCTTTTTTTCCACACTGCCTCACTGTCCCCCTCTTTAACTGCCAAGTGATGCTAAAGCATTAATTCAGCTTGTGTTACAGCCCATTTCTCTTATCCGGGTCCACGATTCTGCTCCCACACGCAGTTCAGCAAAACTAGAACAGTCTAAAAATGTCTTCTAATGGGGCAGACTCTTGGTCTGCTTAGGAGTGCAAGTCAGTCTAAGAGGAAAGTGCCCAAACACAGAGTCACGTAACCTGCTAGGAGAGTTAGTGGAACACGAGATTATCCACCAAGCAAACCTTACCTCTGCTGCTGAGTAATCCTGATTAATGCGATGTGATTTCATATGCTTATCCGAGTGTATAGGATATAACTGTCGTAGCTAGCGTGTCTAAACTCCAGCTAGGCTCTCAAGAGGTTCTCAAATATGGAGACACTTTGATAAGCTATATTTGACTCAATGATAATTACATGCAAAACCATCTGAAGTCCTCTATGTAAAGTGCTATACCTAAATAATTGTTCATTCTTGTGAAACGTAAAGATAACGACTCATCGTGGATTTGAAAGTATGCATTACACTGCAGTTTCCTCTACTGTGGTCATGGGAGCAGAAAAGCAGTTCACAGAGGACTAGCTCAAACAGCTTCGAGAGCGCTTCCTATTTTGTTTTGTAACGGTGGACGCAACATTGAGTTTCTACATTTCAGCCTGGAAGCAAACTTGTTTTGGTGAGACATAACCAGGCCTACATGCTGAACTAAAGTAAAAGCTGAGCAGAGCTGTGCAGAGTCATGGTGTGGGAGGCTCAGAAAAAAGAAGAAAGCATGTCAACACACTGGGTTCTATAAATGGTTAAACACTGGAAACTGCTGAAGAAGGGTTTGTGATCTCAGCTGGCATTGAAAGGCTTACAAATCCAAATGCTTTTAGTTTTATTTTAGGAGGATAGTAGAACTCAGGCTTGAACTGTAATATTTCCTCTAAGGTAGAGGCTGTTATTTTAGTCCTGACTATAACAAAGGAGCATAAACAGTCAAATACGTACAAGAAGTGGTAGAGCAGAATATGAGATTTTCTGTAAGCAAATGAATAGTCGATGCACATTCATCAGAGTGCTGACTTGTTACCGACATTTACTAAATAAGTTTCTTTCCTTTACGGGTTAAAAATCCCATTTTCAGCTCAGTCCTACTTCAAATCCTTCTGAGACTCTGAACCAAAATTAAGCTTGGAGAAATAGGTCCAAAGTGAGAGCTTTAAATCTCCCCGTTTCGAAATGATTCTAGTCAGCGATGGATTTCATACTTCCAGACTCAAAGCAGGATATGTGTCAGTTCACCCTTCAGCACCAGCATTTTTACGGCGAGCCACAACCTGCCCTAACTCCCAGATGCCTGTCTGTGTGCTCATTGGTTCCCACTGACAACCAACATCATTGACACAGCCTTGTAGGCCCCAAATGTCAGTGAGCATACAGCAAAATACGCTGTAAGACAGCTGACCGAGTCGAGACATTTAGTCTCCGATACTTTACTGCTGTGTGGTATGTTGTCCTAAACTTACTCCCTCTTTGGCTGAGACGTTATTTTTCTTGCTTTCCCTTTCTTCAGTAGTCTTCTATGTTAAGATGACAGCGATAAGGTATCTTATGATCAAAAGAAATCTGAGACTGAACAGGCAGATTGATCCCACAGTGCGCAATCACTGGGTTTACAGTAAGAACAAATGCAGTTTTTTTTTTCCTTATTTAAAAAAAAAAAAGAGACCCCAGACCAAAAAGCTCCAGTGTGTGATTAAACCCTCCTCATATTTCCATTGAGACACGCGTTGCACCAGACTGAGGCACTACGTCCATTCTTCATCTATTGCCCCTTTGGTTGGCATTTTTTCTGCCCTTTATCTGCTTCAGATCATGAGGGCGATGCTTGCGGGCGGGAATGGGGCCAAAAGACGTAAAACACGACAACCCATGGCTATTCAAGGTGCTCTTATCAAATGCTGTGAATTAGCATCCCAAACTTAATGAAGGAAGCCCAACCAAAACACATTATCCAAATAAACACACCAAGCGAGGTCGCTTTTCCCACAGCGAGGCGGTAAACTAACAACACCTAGATAACAAAGGAACCTTGTAGTGAGCAAACCTGTCGCGCCATCTGATCTCTCTGGGTTTTCCTCCACTTTGCCTCCTCCAGTTGCCCTTCCTAGAGTTTTTTTTTTGTCACATGGAGAGCTGACAAACATTTAGCCCGTTCTGCCAGTCCTTCCCGACTGGCTACAGAACAGGGTCAAGGGCAGCTTTCCTCTTCCACTGGCCACCCTCCATCTTTTCATCCCCTCTCTCCCGTGAGAGAATCCATGAGCAAACAAGTGGAGCAATGAACTTTTCTGGGACAGTGTGCTTTGAGGGAGTGTGTGTCTGTGTGTTTGCGTGTGTGTGTGTGGCACCACAGACGCCACTGGAGAATAACGTGCTAAGAAGTCGGGCTTCCCGGCCAAGTTACATTAGAACGATCTTCACTCGAAAACAGAAAGAATGCTCAACGTCATGAAAGCGAGAAAATAAGAGGAAGAATTCCCTAATAAGGATAGAAATGCATGTCTAAAATAAAATTCAATAAAAACACACAAAACTATGAAAATCAGATTTTCCAACAGTGGTACTAATAGTGTTTGTGAGTAGGAGGCAGGCAGTGTAACAGTGTTATGCATACAAATGCCATGCAAGTGTTGTGGCTGAGAGCGAGGACCTATTAATTAGAGATTTGTACCCAGGGGCCCTAAAACCCGCACTAAGCAGGAAGTGATGTCATCTGGGTCACCAGTAATCTACTCTACACACCAGTGAGATGGGTAATACAATTAAATAACTGGCGAGAAAACAGAAGCCCAAGGAAGCAGAAATAACGGCAGCACGATTTATATCTTCAAACATTACTGAGGATGAGAAAACCTATCAATCAGAATTTGTGAAGTTCTCCTTGTCAGTGACGGTATGTTTCCTAATAGCTTATTCTGTGTGGCTAAAGCTGAGAGGGACTAGTCCACAGCCACCTGTCTCCTTTGCTGCTGTCCTATGTTTGACCTGGCAAGTCCCACCTGGTCCAGAAAAGCGGGAGGAGGGGGGGGGGTAAATCTTTGCCTGTCAATGGAGACATGGCACCACAGGTGGCCTCTCAGACTAACAAAACGCTTGCAGAGAGACGGCAAACGTGTTGTGGTCTGGGCGGAAAAGACAAGAAGTCACACGTTTGACAGGAGAGGGTTGGGTTTTTTTTTCTTCCCAACATTTAAAATGTGCCCATTTCTGTTATAATTCTGTCAAATCAAGAGAGCGAAATGCAGTGTCAGCACCACGCCAGCTCGCTATACAGCAAACACATGTGCAGTATGTTGTTAACTCTGCAGGATGCAGCCAGCGGGGATTCCGCCGGCATGCCGAGAGCTCTGTGAGCGTGCTGGCTACAAAGCTAAAGGCCTGTGGCCTGTGGGTGTTACCGTGTAAGCTAGGTCCATTTTTCTCAGCCCGGCACTCCAGCGATCCCCCCATTCTCTCAGCGCAGGACACGGTGCTAATTGTACACGTGAAACCAGATCGTGTGCCCATGCAAGCCCGGTTCCGTGTTGGCCGTGGCACCGGCCCGTTTCTGATTACCATTCCCGCTCTTCCCGGGGCCAATAAAAGCAGCAAGCGCTGCCACTTTGTGATTGTTCATCCATATTTTATCAAGCTCCTATTTATAACCTCATAGGTCTGAGTTGGGGGCACAGTGAGAAGCGGAGTCGGGGAAGAGAGCCATCGATATGTTTTATTTTTCTGTGGGGTTTGTGAAACTTGTGTACCGCAGAGGACAGCTCAGCCTACTGTAATTACAGGCGATTTGTGGTAACAGGAAGAAGGCCACATATGGGTTTGAAACTCAAAAGATGAACTGTTCCAGAAGCAGAACACAAAGGTATTGACGTGTTTGTGTTTTTTCTAACCTTTCTTAATCCAAGAAAAGTTTGCAAATAAGTCAGGCAACGATCTGGCTCACAGTTCAATCCACACAGTAGAGCTTCATAGTGCAATCTCTTGCTTTCTGCATCTCACTAGTTCGGGCCATCGGGGGAATAATGCCTAGCCCAAAGGCATTTAGCTGGCACTTAGTTACATATTTTCATAGACCACTCCAGCCATTTAACTGCCCCAAATGCATGACCTTTAAAAGATGATCGCCCACTTGTCTAACTTGCAGGCAAAACTGTGTTGATATATTTCATACATTCTAACATTTATAAACACCACCCACATGCCTGACAGTAGAAAGAACACTGCTTGACGATAATCTAAGATCATCATAAAAAAAAACATATATAAACAGGCAGGGCAGCAATACAGTTCTCCCACACCACTGACTCACTCAGCTGTGAGGGAGCCCAAAAGGTTGATTATGCGTTTAATGTCTCCCCGACCCGTACAAACTTTACTGCAGAACATTGTGAGTTATGCGTTAAAATATCCCATCCAAATCCAAAGTGGAAGCTGTCCTGGATGCAAAGTATGGATGCCTTCTTCCCCAAAGCTCACCCTGATCATTTTTGCAACGCCCTGGTAACTGCTTTATTAAGAAATAAAATACTTTTACTCCCTACTGCTGTGGTTAGGGAGACTTGTGAATGCTCACTTATGATCCCCAAAAGCTGCACACAGCTGTCTGACGTTTTTTAATCATCACAAGATAACTTGATTTGTTCTTCTGAGGTACGAAAACCATATTACTGTCTGCTTGGGAACTAGTCTTGCAAAATGAATGCCCAAAACACAGTCTGTGATGAATAGACTGCAGCCCAGACATGCCTTTGATCTGTGTCTGTATTAATAACAAGGAAAAGCAAAGTAGCCACACCTAAACTATTTACCTCTTTTTATTTGCAGCCTAACTTGGCAGCTTTCGCAGGGCTGACATAAAACTGGTATAATAGTGTTGTAAATCTTTATGGGAGATGTAACAATGGCTTTCGAAGCGTAGATAATCTTCTCAGAAAACGATGTTGTTGATGTTTTTGTCCCTGAATAGACAGCTGAGCATCTGCTGGAGGTCGTGTTGTAGGCTGTCATTTATTGTTTAGTAATTGTGCATCCTGCTCGGTACAATAAGACAGGGTTAGCCCATTAGCATGTTGACATCCTGAAACTCATTTCGGACAAATGACCATTCACTGGGCCGAGCTAAAATAGCCCTCGCGATGTCCCATTCTGGTTTTTTAATCGTTATTACCGCTGCAAAAAAAAGCAAGCTCGGTGACGAAATACATTTACCCTGAGTTCGTCTCTTTCAGCCTCCCAGCGGTATTTCTCGGCCTGGAAGCGTCCCCATTCGTACTGGATGAAGTGCAGGATTCCGGGAAGCGTCATGCCCGAGTCCCCGTCCTGCGTTTCCCGGGGCTGCAGCGACCCGGGGACGGCCCCGGCCGCCGCCGCAGCAGCCGCAGCAGCCGCCGCCGCCATGGCCCCGGCCGCCGCGGCGGAGTTGGCCGGGCCCGCTGCTGTTTTGGGCCCGTTCGGGTTGCGCCCCGTTCCGCTACTACTGCTGCTGCCGCCGCCACCGGAGTTCGGGTTTGGTCCTCCGCCGGATCTGTCCGCCTCCATTTTAACCGTTCAACCTTTCGCCACGATAATGAGGTGGTCACGGGGGCAGAATGTCTCGGGTAAAAAAAATAATTTTAAAAAAAAGTACCCCGAAACCCTTTTTCCAGCCCAGCTGTTCTTCACAACAGACGACCCTCTATTCTTCCTTTTCTCATACGGCACGGAGCAAAATTACAATTCACTTGGCAAAATAAACCACTTCCGCTTTATTCCTTTCATAGTAAAACGAGACTTCGCCACAGACTGGTGATAATTTGTCAGCCATAGGGGCCAACTGGGAATATGTTAACTGCTGCTTGAAAATACGTTATCAGTGTTAACGCAGACTAATTCCAATACGGAACCCATTTCTAAGAAACCTTGTTAAGGTGTGTTCAGGACTCTTATTTGGCATTGCCTCCACTTGTTTCCTCCTCCTTGTGTTTGCTGCTGGAAATGTCCAAAGTCGATGACAAATGAGGAGCAGTGTTTTCCCATCACACAATTGACCAAGTCACAAGCAGAATTAAGCATTAAGCGTTTTCTTCCAGTTTCTTATCTATTTATCTATATAGGTTTCTATATATTTGCCCAAGCAAATATATGTAGTATTTAGGTTGTTTGCATTTGAACATGTAAAGTTGGAATAGAAATAAGAGTTAATTAATATAAACCCAGTTGAATCCACTTGATGAAAAAGGGAATCATCACTTATGATTCACAGATTTGTTTTAACAATATTACATATATTTGGAAGATTAGATATTGTCATGTGAGACATTTTTTCCGCAATAAATTCAAAACATATAACTATCCATTTTTAGGATTACTCAGACATAGGATGTTTGAACTTTGTAACAAAAGAAAAACGAATCTTTTTAAAAATAATTTTGTTGGAAAAAGTTGGAAGAGTGCACTTTTATGCTGAAGGAGATTGACCGGAAGTGTTCGTGTTGATGTGGACGCCAAGGAAAAGCGAACTAGCATGTTGCTAAAGTCGTGCAGGAGGACTTCATGACAAGCTATTGATGCTTCAGTTAAATTAAATGTTCTGATGCTCCCTTGGCAACGAGGCTGTGTTTTTAACACCTAAACTGTAAAATTGCGTATTTAAGAAATAATGCGCGTTATTATCTGTCTCTGCTGCAACGTTTCTGTACCGGTTCATGCTATTCGACCACAGCTGGCTGAAATAAACGCATTCAATTCGACCATAAGAGGATTCCTATGACTGGGTTAAATGTCTGAAAATCAATGCTTGATATGAATGTTCTGCACCCTGCAAAAGTTTAGTATTTAGCAACATAAATACGTCCAAAAGGAGGTGAGTTGTGGCTATCTCATGTTTATAGATTTATCCTACTGAACGTTATGGTTTGGATCAATTAGAGAGTTGAATATTAGAAATATCCATTATGTCCCCTTCAAAGTAGTTTGAGATTTTCCTATTCATCCTTAAGGAATTTACAGAGCTGATGTTTTAAAATAACCATTTCTGTGTAAGAATCATTATTTTATCTTTGACTTTCAGGTCATTGTAATCGCACAATCTTCTACTTTTAGACAAATGAGGACACAAGACCTGCCACTGGATGTCTTTATTTCAGGTTAGATTCTCTTTCTCAAAAAAGCTGGAAAATATAGCGTTGCAATGCGCATTAGTTTCTGCCAGGGCCTGTTAACTGGTGCCATCATCCTCAACCTCCTTATTTTGTACTATGTATCTCGGGCCCAGCAGCAGATGATGGAGAAGAGGAAGGATTTTGGCAGGGGCACAAAAAGGGTTGCTCTGCCGGCCTCTGGTCTCGGGGGCGGTTTAGGGGTAAACGGTGGGGCAGGAGCAAACGGAGGGATCGGAGTGGAGGGTCACAGTCGAGGCCCGCGGGTGACCGTTCTTCTTCGGGAGTTTGAGAATTTTGAGAATTATGTGGTAGACGTGGCTAACTCCTTCCTTCATCATCGACCGGAGCTTCCTTTTCTGGCCGTGGCTGACCTGTCCCCGTACCCTCCCCTGGTGCTTCCCGAGGGCGCTCGGCTCCTGGTGCTCTCCCCGAGCCCGGACCAGCCGCCTCAGGCTCACAGGCCGGAGTTTCACGTGCAGACGGAGTTTGTGCTGCTGGTGCCCGACGGGGTGGAGCTGGAGCAGCCCCGGGTCGTTGAGAGACTCATCAAAGAGTTGGAGGGTGAGGGCGGGGGCCCCGTGAGGCTGGTGGCTGCGCCTGTGCTCGTGCGATCGGCCGTTCAGTGCCTCCATTTGCGCGTGAACCTGCGGGAGTGGACGGCCACCTACTCGCCGGCGGCGTCGGGGAGCAGCGGGAGCGTGTGCACGGCGCTGCAGGGCGACGCCGTCGTGCTCGTCCGCACCGAGGACCTTTTCAATCTCTCCGTCCCTCTGGGCCGGCCGCTCTTCTCGGCGCTTTTCGTCCAGACCGCCCTGAGGGGTTGGAAGGTCAAGCTTCTGGAAAGCCCCTGCTTCTCCGCGGGCCACCGCCCGCTTTTCAGCTCCGCCCACAACCAGTGGAAGGCCGACACCCGGCTGAAGGAGGCCACGGGGAAGCTGATGAGGAGCTTCGGCCTGAAGCGCATCCTGCTGCCCGAGGGCAAGGAGCAGTGGTACGGCTGCGGCAAAGAGACGCCGCGGTGCTTCGGCACGGTGCAAGAGGACACTCCAGACTATCTTTACCTGGACCGCTGGACGCCTCCCTGCTGTCTGCGAGCGCTGAGGGAGACCACCAAGTACGTCATCAACATCCTGGAGAGCTCCGGCGTTCGCTACTGGCTGGAGGGAGGCTCTCTGCTGGGCGCCATCCGCCATCAAGACATCATCCCGTGGGATTACGACGTGGACCTGGGCATCTACCTGGACGACATACCCAACTGTGACCACTTGAAAAACCTGGACGCGGGCTCTCTCGTGGACGCCAACGGCTACGTGTGGGAGCGGGCGGTGGAGGGCGACTTTTACAGAGTCCAGTACAGCGAGGCCAACCACCTGCACGTCGACCTTTGGCCTTTCTATTCCCGTAACGGCGTGATGACCAAAGACACGTGGACAGAGCACAAGCAAGACGTGGAGTTCCCCGAACACTTCCTGCAGCCGCTGGTGCCCATGCCTTTTGCCGGCATCAGCGCCTACGGCCCCAACAACCACAGGGCCTTCCTAGAGCTGAAGTTTGGAGAAGGGGTGATAGAAAACCCTCAGTACCCCAACCCCGCTAAGAAGAGGCTAGACAGGGGGAAATTCTGAGTGATTCTAGAGACTGAGAAGCTCTTTGAAGCCGTACCAGTTGACCTGGACGTCTGAACCTCAGATGGTTTTCATTTCGAGATTATATCCGAAATGAAACACTTTGCCAAAATGACTGTATTTTCTGGCACTTCAAGCACAATATTGTCTAATAACTTGACTATATATTTTCTGTGTTTTTATTTTTATCTGTAAGTGTTTACATGTGAAGTTGAATGTTCGTTGAATGTGACGCTCTCCACCGTTGTATCAACGGGGGGAGGGGGGGGATTTTGAATATTCAAGGGCAGATTTAGCTGCATAGTTGACTGAATGTGTTGTTCAAGATACTGTTAATATTTTGTGGATAATTTAAAACTTGTAAAATATTATGAAAAAGTCCTTCTTCCGTTTATCTTAAGCAGGCTTTAAAGTACTGAACTTTTTTTGCCACATCGAATGTTTTACGATTTGTCAACTGCCTTGTTTTACACTGACGACTTTAACTTATGTTCTTGTAGCATAGAAATAAATATTAGTGTATATCAAATTTATTTGGTACCCAACAGCTCCACTGACAGAGTACTGACACAATAAATGTCTACATGTTTAAAAATCTCTCAAACTATTACACAGACCAACAGCCTCAGACAAATCTTGCACATTTTACTTGCTTTATTTCATTCACCTCTTTTCTTTTTTTTTTTGCTTTGTCCAGATGCCTTTTTTTGTGTCTCTCACTTGTGATTTATTTTTGCAATTCTTTGTCAGTTTTTTAGGCTTTAAAAAAATATATTTTGTGTCTCATTTTCATTTGTTTGGGATTGTGTACAAAATAAAAGCATGTCTTAGCTTGATGTTAAAATATGCATGAAGTTGTGTAACTGGCATTTCCGTAATACAGCGAGCATTATAAAGGCTAATTAAAAGATTAACACTGTGACATCGGAACACGTCTTCCATATGTGTCGCTGCTTTTTATGTCTTATTTATGTCTCTATTTATATGTGCAGTTTTGGACTTTTTATGTCTCTTTATGGGCCGATCATTTATATATGATATACACATCTTATGTATGAGATATTTATATGATATATAATACCACAACACCCCTAATTGTCCTAGTCCCTGAGTTCTGTGGTTCATTTGGTCATTTGATTTCCTGTCTCTCTATCTGGCCTTAGTATTTAAATATGAACTAGTGTGTTAATATAAGAAAAACAAACATATTTACGGAAATGGAATTTAATTTTGGTGAATTTCCAAAAGAAAAGGTGTGATTTTAGTAACCGTTTGTGTGTTTCACTCATATTAATGAGCTTAAAAAACAAAATGAATTTATTGCCATCATTGTTGTTTCACTGCTACTTTTTTGTTATAAAACTGTTGCTGGAACTTAACAGAAACAAACCCTGCAGTATCACTCTGATGTTCAGCTGCTATTTCTTCCCCCCTGACTGGACACTAGATGGCATCCCAGTCTTAGTATTGCTGGGCATCGGCGTGGCGTCATGTGGCTGAGCAAACAGGAACATTGCTCCATTTATCATCCGGGACCAGCCGGGTCGTATTACCGTGCTCCCTGAATGTACACACGGGCCGGGTACTGCCTCCCACCAGTCGGGAGCGAACAGCATATTCCTAGAGGTGCGTTCACATGTCTCTGTGGAGACACTCGACCACCAGAAGCGCTCATAAATGGTCTGGTAGTTACATCAGACAAATGAGAGGCTGCCTGCGGTTATTTTTAGACATCAGGCACACACAACATGTCTCACAACTTGCATTAGATGGACATGGAGCAATGGAGAACTTATGCTGCAAAGTTATTTGACTTGCAAAAGTCAAAAGTTCTTCTCTTGTTCTCCCGTTTGCTCCCACAGTCCAAAAACATGCATATTAGATTAGTGAGTGACCGGCTGACCGATAGCAATGAATGCAAGTGTGTGTGGTTGTAGCCCTGTGACATGATCAGGGTGTATCCCGCTTCTATTCCAAATGTCAGCTAGACACGTTCCGGCTCCCCCCCCCCCACCCCATCCGACCATACTAGGAGTAAGCAATGTGGATAATGGATGGATGGAATTTCTTGTCTTATATCCACAGCTGTAGGTTGACAAGCACACAAGTAATGTTCAGTAAGAAGCAGGCAGGAGCCAACCATGTAAAAACAACAAAAAAAAGAAGCTCTTTTTTTATTCGCAGCCTAATGACAGCACAGTCACATGGTAACCAGGCATTTATACTCCTTAAACATAACCATACTGTAATAAACGTAGTTTAACCACGGCTAACACAAGCATGACTGAGGCAAACATCCTTTTGGTGCAAGATTTCAGAGGAATGATAATGTTTTTACAATCTTGCGATAAAGAACGGCGACATCTGTTGTGAGGTAACGTTTTAAGTGGGAGCACTTTTCCATGACACGTAAGTTTATACAGGGGGAGCTACATATCCTCTCCCCCCCCCGAAAATGTTTTTTAAAAAAGGCCCTAGAAAAGACAGGTATTCAAAAAATGATTATGTCGGATTCCTTTAAAGCGATGACACTGAAGATATGGATGGATCAGAAGCTTTTAACTGTGCATCTGGGTGAATAGCGCTATGTCAGCTTACAAACCCCAACAGCTCATCTCATTTCCTGCTTCAGCTGCACTCTCAACATTTAGCATCACAAGGGGGGAAAAAAAAGAAAAAGTCATTCCTGGCCCACAAACTGAAGAACAAAAACACTGAAGAAATAAGCCATTGATAAAAAACAAAACAAAAGAAAGACAGTCCATCACTATCCAGCTGCTACAACAAGACTTAAAGCAAGCAAAAATGCCAAATTTGAATGAACAGATTGTCAGAATGGCCCCCAAAAAGCTTTGGATGTAATTATATATAAATAGAAATAAAAAAAATAATTATACAGGTGTACAGGGGGGGGGGTCTTCAGCTCCCCTTGAGAAATATTTCATCTTTGTGGCTGCAACATATAAAGCTAAAACAGAACAATGTTAACGGACATGTTCCTAGAAGTTAATTCGTTATTCAGAAGAGTGAAATACATCTACTGCTGCTATTCTGATCATGTGACACATGGCAGTTGTTTTCTCATTTTCATATTCAAACAATTTACAACATCAAGATGACCTCATTATTTAAAACATGTTCTCATTAAGAAGATGCGGGTCGCATTTGTATTACTGGGGCTACTTGAGAAAACAAAAAAAGATAAAAAATTATTGCATTTCTCAGGGGGTTCAGCAGTCTCCTTTCTGTGTGCCGAGCGAGTAATTTTTGGTCTCTGAGAGTTTAAGGAGAGTTGGAGGAACAAAAGCCAGACCTGAGTTCACGTCGTGCACCGTCACATTCCTGTGTTGCAGAAGAGGCTGAGCTCTGTGGGTCCACACTTCTAATTATTTATGTTGTGCTTTCTTATGCATTTAGAGCCCCTCCTTCCAACCCCACGTATTACAAATTGTGCATCTTTGTCAAGTATTATCACAGCTATTTTCATGCAGGTGTAAGGCAAATAGTTGCGTAACATTCTTGCATAATTGGAGATTTCCATCACTGGAAGTTCAGTAAAGCTATAGAGTTTTCTACAAAGCAACAACAAACAGAACGATCAATCCTGTTGCCGTTAAACATATTCAAATGCCAAAGAATCCATCCTTGGAGAAATTTTGTACCTTTGGTTCTCGTGTGTATCCGACCTTTTCTTAAAATCTTTTTCTCGTTTTCATTTCCGTAGGGATACTTTCATGCCATCTCGCACTTCAGAGTAACACATTTTTAGATGGTTTCAATCAACAATCAAACCCTGTGTGAAGTAACATAACCACTTCCATGATCAGTGAGCAATACTCCCGTCTCAAACTTCAGAAACTCAACTCTCAAGCTCTGTCCATCAGTTTTCCTGCTGGAGGGAAATATTGGGACATATTGGGTGATGTTAATTCGTTGTCTCACCTGTGTACTATAAAGCAGTTCAGCAAACTGATTCTTTTTTCCATATCACAAGGCTCATTTCAGTTTTCATGAAACCATCCTTTGTGATGATCTGGACTTCGACCACAGCAGCATGAACGGATCCTCTTTAAGAGTATTGCCAGAGACGAGTGGCGCATTTAAAAAATAAAATAAATTAAAATCATTGGTCACAACTGTTGGTCTCCTCGCAAATTGATAAAAAGGCATAAGGTGTGTACAGGTAGTGTATAAATAAACCACATTGTATGTGAAAACAAAACGCAGAATTTACCCAAAAATGATCTGCTGCTTTTTTTCTTTTAACATAAAAGTGGATTTTTTTTCCCGGCTGGATGAAGTGAACAAACTCTACAAATTCCGTACAGTATAAATACAGCGCTGGATGCGGCCGGCGAAATAGTGGCTGAATATGTGTAGAATACTATACACACACACACACCTATAATCCATGTTTACAGCAACCGATGACACTAAATGAGAGAATAATTCATGCTCAACTTCCAAGGGGAAGTTAAGAGCCAGACTAACTGGAACATAAAACAAAATGAAGGGGAAAAAAACACAATAAAAAGCCTGACAGGTCCTAAATCTAAGCGATTCTAAACTTGGACTGTAAAAAATTCCAGGCCGGGTGCAGCAAACCGTGTGGGTGCCCTCGTCAACTTCTAAAATCTAAAACGTACATGTAAAAAAAACAAAAAAAAAACAGCTTCTCCAGCAGTGGGGATCAAATTAATGTCAATCCCCGACCCACCCCCCATAGAGAGACATCTAGACCACATGAAGATCAACTGGTCTGGCTTCTGTCAGACTGGACGACCATGTCAACGCAACATGGACGCATGGCAACGCCATCACTTCAAAGTTGACGAGAACAAACCCGAACCGTACAGGACCGAGCCTGGGACTGTCACTCTCTCTCTCACAAACACACATACACACACACACTAGCAACAAAACAAAACTCCACATGTACATCATGGTTGTGAATTTCCCATTTTGACCCCCCTCCCCGTCTCTCCCCCCCCTCCAATAAAAAAAGGTGCTGAGGTACAGGAGCGTTTGCATTGTAGTGTGCAGGTCCTCCCTCTATTCTTGCCCTCGAGGCAAAGGGGGGGGGGCAGGGGGGGGTGGGCTTGAACTTCAGGTTTCAGCTTGCCGGGGGAATCAAACGAATCAAGAGGGAGCGCCTGATGATGTCAGCGGGTTTTTTTTTTTTTTACATGGCCGACTCTTTCTCGCCGGAGTAGGGCGGCCGGTCTCCGTCGGCGCTGTCCCGCCGGCCTCGCTTCTCGATGAGCGGCGACTGCTCGGGGGCGGCGGCCGACAGCTCCCCGTCCAGCCGGACCTCGCTCAGCTCGGCGCCGCCCTCGCCCGGGGCCGTGCGGTCCACGAAGAACTGCAGCAGGCCCGCCCCGTAGGCGTCGCCCTCCACGTTCAGCACCGTGCAGGTGCGGTCGCTGCGGAGAGGAGGACAGTCCCGTTAGAGCGGAGAGAGAGGCCACCGTGACTGGGGCTGTCAAAAAGTATCGATACTCCAAAAAGTATCGACACTAAAACTTTGTATCCAGATACGCAACTCATTTTACAAAGTATCGATACCACCTAATGGCTAATAATAACACGCCAACATTAATCAAGTCCGTCTGGCAGCAGACTGCAGGAAGACAAGGATGGATCTCCAACTCCACCCACATCCAGGTCGGCCATTTTGATTACGTCACCAATAGGAACATCCCAGGCAAGAAAATCGTAATTGCTTCGTTGCAATATAGACATTAATTTAAAAATAATTTAAAAAATCTATCTTGCAAACACTGAATTCAACTCTATACATAATATTATCCTAAAAAAGTGCATGTTAAATAGGTTTGTACGATAAGTCCAAACAACTTTAACCCAAAAAAATTTCTTTTTCACAATTATGGAGGTTGGAGGGTTAGGGTTAGGGTCATTAATGCGGGCCACCGGCCACAATAACATCAGTAATACGTACGTTTGAAATGAAAGACACCAACCTGTCAAAATTCAGTAAAATTTTGGGGTCTTTCTTTTCATCGAAAATGGTATCGAGTATCGAATATTTTGAGTATCGGTATCGAGTTGGAAACTGTGACCGGCCCTGCGGCACGACGGCGGCCCGGAGACTCACACAAGCCAGTCCACAGCCAGGATCAGGGAGATGTCGGTGGTGGGGAGGCCTATCGCTTCCAGGATGATGGCCAGGGTCAGCACGCCTCCGGCCGGGATGCCCGCCGCTCCCACGCTGGAAGCCGTCGCCGTGACGCTGGCGGACGAAAGGAAGGAGCCCGGTTACACGGAGAGACGCGTCTAGTTGAGCGGCAGCAGGCAGGCGGACTTACAGGATGGTGATGACCTGGATGAAGTTGAGCGACTTGTCGTTCAGCTGAGCGATGAAGACGGCGGCGACACACTGGAAGAGGGCGGCTCCGTCCATGTTCACCGTCGCCCCGATGGGCAGGATGAAGCGGCTGATGTGCTTGGACACGCCGTTATTTTCCTCCACGCACTTCATCATGAGGGGCAGCGTGGCAGAGCTGGAGAACAGGAAATGAGGGGAGAAGTGAGCCGAAGCAAGGGTGTTTGCTTTAGAACAAGACGACCTCGCTATTTGGAAATTAACAACCTCACAGAGCAAAGCAGAGTGTGTGTGTGTGTGTGTCTCAGAGATAAGTAGCAGTGAGCTGAATACCTGGAGCTCGTTCCGAAGGCCGTCGCCAGAGCTGTGAATATCCCCCACAGGAAGGTGTAGGGGTTCTTTCTGGTTATGATAAAGTAGATGCCCGGCAGCACGATTAAGCCGTGGATGGCGTGTCCAATCATGCAGCAGGCTATGTATTTCCCAAGACTGGCAAACAGCGTGCCAACGTCCTCCATCTCCACGATCTTACTGGCGACCAGGAACATGATACCAAGCGGGGCGTACCTGCGGACAAGAGAGGGACAGTGATGTAGATCTGCTTCCCGGCACACTGAACAATACAACGATTCTGACGAACCAAACATGATCCCTCCGGTCAAAAGTAAAGCTTTGTCTGGGGAAAAAAATCCTACGAATTGAGGGCTTTTCTCTTTCAGCGTCTCTCGGGGAACCGGACGCCTGCCACAAAACTAACATTACACGTTCCAAAGTCTCCAACCCCCCCTCCCGCCGGCCCCTTTCCCCGAATCTGTCTGATTTCTGATGTAATGAATGCAAAGCTAAGCTAATCCAAGAAAAGCTGATGCCTATGGATTTAGATTTACCAAAGAGGCAGAAACATGTATTTGATACTCTCATGACCCAGAAAACACCGAAAGCACTGGGGGGTGTCCCACCGCGTCCTAGCACGTAGCCCGCCTTACCACATGATCCAGGACACCAGCACCATGGTGGCCTCGTTGAAAGAGTTGAAGAACTTGATGAGGATCTCGCCCTCCTCTCCCAGCTTCCTCAGAGCCACACCGAACACGATGGCAAACACCACCAGGCCCAGGATATTCATGCCATCCTGGTCTTTTCCAATGGGCACCTGAAAAAGCCCCCAAAACCAGCAGGAACCGTCAATTAAGAAGCTCCATCCGCAGCATGTTGACGATCCACCGCACCAAAAATGACTGGGTGGCCCCCTTTGCTGACCTTCTCCAATATGGCGCTTAGGTTGCCATCCGTCGCGTTCTTCACAATAATGTCTTTGTAGGAGGTGGCATACTGGTTCAAAGAGAACAGTTTGTTAGTCCAGAATGCTAATCAGTAGAAAATCTGATTATACAGCCATTTTGTTATATAATGTCATCATGGTTAAGCAATCGAAGAGGTAAGATTGAACACTCACCGACTGAAAAGCAGCGGAGACCAGATTGGAGGGGAAAATGTTTCTGTGGACAGAAATAATAGAGAGCGTTATCATGGGAATGGTGCTCTTTCCACAGACAGTGTAACATGAGCTCAAAACAGGAAAACAGTCCAATGTCACAAAGACGAATCCCACTTAGAATCATTAACCAACAACAAGACGCACTATACACAGGAGTTTCATTTCACCGAAATGGAGAAGTTTTTATGCCACAGCCACCTCAAAGCTTTTACCTTAGCCTAATCGGAGCCGTCGTCAGCAGTAGGCTGTTATTCCTACCCATCAGTCACAGTTTAAACGCACCGAATCACATGCGCTGTCATGTGGATGTAGCTACAAAAGAGCTGAACTATTAGTCCAATTTGCGTTACGACTTTAACTCGCCATCCACCGTCCAAACGCATATTAAATCCCAGGGAACTCAAAAAACCCTCTGCCCCTGGTGCCCCCGAACTGAGCTGTGTGTAATAGATTCAGAATAATGAGGCATTAACTTCATAAGCTCTTTTCAGCCATTCATTAGGAAGAGTCCATCAGGGCTCCTGCATCATGTGATTGAGCAGCTTTCCAAAAAATTATTCTGGAATGGAAAAGTGGATAAAGTGATGCTCTATTTAGATTTTTTAAATGCAAATTTATTTTTTTAATCTGAGAAATCCACACAGACCATTCTCATAGAACCTGTACATTCAGAAGAGTTATTTCACTTTTAACTCGTGAACGCTGATTCAGAGTTCATCAAGTTGACTTCAATTTGTGATACTGCTGTTAGACTCCCAGTGAAGGCGGCCCAAGACACGCTACCTCCTTTTGGTGACTCAGTTTTTACCATCAGTGGTAGCTTGTGTCCAATGAGCACACAGTTTCCAATTAGATGTCCTCTGGCAGGGTTTCCCAACAGGCTAATGCTGTATGACTACATACAAATAAAAAAAATAATTTCATAATACGTGTAACATCTACCAGCTGATAGTTCTATAAAAACAGTGTTAGGGGGGCCAAAATAGCTCCAGGATACGGGCCGTGAGTTAGTTCCTCCTGGAACTGCTTGTGCAGGTCAGTGTGGAACAGAAACTTGTTTGTTTTGTGCTTAAAACTGCAATTAAATCATGGGTGGAACAGAGAGCGCATACTTGGCACCATTATTAACCAGCCTTTTTCTTTTTAAATAGAACAATAGAACTGTAGTCAGCATGACTAGTGTTTTTTTTTTAAACAAAGGACATCAATGTTTGATACTTTCTGGGAAAGCCATAAATCTTCTTTTCTGTAATATAAAAGCAAATATTTATCACGATCAATAAACTGGGACATGCTTTAGCTAGCGAGTGCCATTTAATGTCAACATCAGTCTTGTGAGTACAGAACACATCGGAGATAAGGAATGTAAACAAGGATGTGAAGGAGTGGCGGTCATTTACTCTGTTTGTGTGTGTGTGTGTGTGTGTATGTGTGTATGTCAGCCAAGCCATGTGGCCAGCTTAGCACAGGGTGTGTGTGTGTCCACACAACAGCGGGCATTAAACGGCCAGGCCATTCCTCTGCTTCCCAATTCCACCCTGCCGGTGTTTTACAGACACAACTGGGCCCCCCAAGTGTGAGGTTCCACGCTAATGAGAGGCCTGCTGCTCGCTTCAGATAAGGCCCTTCTTCAGATAATAACCTTTTAAAAGTTAAAACGCTGATACCCGGGGAGGAGTGGGGGCTGATTCCACAGGGCCTTTCGTTTAATTTTACCGTCCAGGTGGTTTCGAAACAGAAAAATAAAGTCACACTACTGAAATACCCGATTAACCCGGGCCCTACCACCCTCAGAACGATGTTGCAACCTGCGGATCTGGTTATGTAAAAGCGTGGAAAGCGTATGGAACCACGTCAGGTGCCACGGCCCCCCCATTACCACACCTTCAGCTTTTTTGTGTTGTTCTGCATGGTGCACTTTCATTTCACTGTAAAGCAATAATAACACCCAGAATGCGCGGCAGAGCTGGTGGTGTGTGAGATGCGAAAAGAAAAAACGTTTCCTGTTCTGCTAGTCTTGCCGCCTCAGAGCAAAGCGTCATTCTCACAGATGTCACATCGCTGTTGTGGAAATCCTGGTTTCTATAGAGAAATACTTCTATGATTCAGCGTAAGACGGATCTGAGCCCAAAGCAAATGTCAGGAATTAGGAAAATGAAGTGTTGTAAACTTAAGTATGTAAAGTAAATGACAAATTTCAAACGATAACACTCTTTTCAGGCTAAATCCAAAGAGATGAAATATCACCAGGAAAAGCCAAAAGCTTCACGTTTTCACTTTCCAGACTTTTATTCCCATTTCCACGCTTTGGTTAACAGAGAGATGGTAATGGTGTGTTCCACTCCACATCAGCCCCCCTCCTCTGCTCTGTGGTGGGTAAAAACTGAAGAGGGCTTAGGGAAAAACGTGAAACTAACTGGAGCTGGCGCGTAAAACGTTTCCACACACGAGCAAAATCTGATTTCAGCCATTCCCCCCCCCCCTCTCTCTCTGCCCAGCAGGAAATATAGTCGCTTTTCTCATGATAGTGACGCATGTATGGTGAACACATTTTAAAAAAAGAGAGGAAGGGAAGCTGTAGGCAGCTGGTTTGATGAGCTTAAACGCCTTTTTAACATAATGGGAGCGAGCAGATTTTGGCGCTTTAAAGCCAGTCTGACTGACATCCAATTGTGTCCAAGAATAACTTCCACCTCGATCAGCGGGAAGCTGTTAAAATCAACAGAGCCAAAGCCCCCCCACAGAAAGACGCGTCTCTCCCCATCCTGGCCCACGTGTCATGGGTCGCCACGCGTTTAACCCATGTGTTTTAGTGAACGTGTACTGTACGTGCGGGTGTTCCATTCGTTGTATAAAAACGTATGGGGGAAAAATAAAAATAAAACTGGACTGGTTGGTGACAGCGACTCCTCCAGTCCGCCAGGAGAGAAGCCACCTGAGACTCAGCTGATGCAACACTTAATGTTGTTACGGTGTCGCGCACCGGCTGAATGTGCGCCATGTGGCCACGGGTGGAGGGGGGTTTAACCCTCCGAAGCGTTCATGGAGGACATCTGTAGACTGTCGGCTCGTTTAGAGCCCCACAATCTCCGTGAGAGTACAAAGTGTTCCGAATCGGCCCACAGTTACGCACCACGATCCGAAAAGTTTAGACCCAAGAGCAGCGGGTCTGACTCACCTTATCAAATCCAAGAAGGAGTCGATCACTTCTTTGTGAGCCGGCACGGTTTCGTCCAGGTTTGTGGGCTTGCTGACCGTCACCGAGCCCGGGGAGATGATGAACGCCATCACCACCCCGATGGATGAGGCGATCAGGGTGGTGACCAGGAAGAACAGCATGGCCCAGCCGCCCAGCTTGCCCAGGGCTTTGGGGTCGATGCTGGCCGCGCCGGACACCAGGCTGCAGACCACCAGGGGGATGATGATCATCTTCAGGAGCCGGATGAGCAGCTCACCTGGGAACCCGATGTAAATGACCTGCGTTCTGGTCAGCTCCGCGTTGCGCACGCCGAGTCCGATAAAGACCCCCACGATCACCCCGGCCACGGTCAGGATCACGAGCAGGTTGGCCCACACGATCCTCTTGACCCGCTCCAGCAGAGGCTCCGGGCTGCTCTTCCTGGGGCTCAGCCCGTTGGCCAGAGGCTCCTCGAGGTGCGCATCCCCGTTGGCCGCCTTCGCCTCCTCCATGTTTATCTTCGTAGCCATTGCGCGTTCGAAGTTCACCTCAAACTTATCCTAAAAGTCCAAATGCTTGTTTCAAAACCCTCTACCGGGGATGTTCTTTGGGCAACAACGCGCGGGTAATAAGCTCCCTTCCTTTTAACAACTTACAACCGCCGGGAGTCCCTTATCTACCGGTAATTCCACCCCGCCCTGTGACGCAGGCGCAGGGCGTCTTTAGAGGAAACACGTGGTTCTCCCCTAACTACTTTACAGGCTCTAATAATTAGAACAAAAACGTGTGGCGTGTCTTTAAAACGGTCTTTGAAATCTACTTTTCCTCAGCGCTAGCGTCGTTGTACAATTTTTTTCTTCATAAAATAATTCTAACGACCATTTATGGAGAGGAATACGATGTGCACGATGTTCTGGGAAAGCTGAGAGTAGTTGGCCTGGACTGTGTGCGTTCAGTTTGTATATAACGCCAGATACGTGGAAAGGGGACCCTTTGAATATAAATAAATACTCAAAGGTATCTGCGTCTAATTTCAGTTATATGATAATCTGAAAGTAATATTTGGTTATTACACTACATGGTGTCTTTGAATAGTTTTTTTTTTTACTTGATCAGTTGTGAACTGACATGACCTCTGTATTGATCACCTTTTCAGCTAGTGTATGTTCACAAGTGCCATCTATGGCATCATGCAGTAAAAAGTGAAGAGCTAATGCAACCCAAGTCTCCTAAAAAAAAAAAAACTGTACAAACAGTGCAGTTGGGGACCTCTCTGGAGAACTATTGAATCCAATAAATGGAGCAGTAATCACAGCTTTCAATAAAACTCTCCATGATTAAATGAGTAACTGCTTTAGCAGTTCCCAGTTCCTCGAATTAAATCAAATGTTGGCTTTTATCCAGAAAATCCAGGAAATTCACCATGATTGAGTTATTATGAGTCTGCTACATCCCGTATGAAACAGTGGCAATGTAATGTATGAAAACACTAATCTCCCTTCAGATTATTCCATTTTTTTTAGATTGGCAGTTAAAACTAGGGCACATTGACTGGGCAGAGAAGTAAAAAAAAAAAAAAGGCTTTGGCCTGTACAGCTGTGGATACAGCCACTATACTTTGATGTAACCCCCCTCTTTCTGTGCTTATTTGCTCTCCCTCCGAGTGCCAAATCAACAAAGAAGGCCGATTTTCGTTAGAGCCCTGACATCAGGTGGAAGGCCAAGCACAGCCACAGCGCAGCTCTGTCATTTGGTTTGTTTAGATGACACAAACAAAGACTGCTGAGGAGCAGGGAGTCCTCCGCTGACTTCAAACTGTGCCGTTTCCTCCCCGGCCACTGCTGCCAGCCGGTGAACGCCACGCTCACAAGCATCGTTTCTGATCTTTTTCTCTGTTCACGTGATGGCGGAAAATGACAGTGATGAGTAAAAAGTTAAAGTTAGAGATGGGAACAGCAGGGCGAGGGGTTTAACATTTCCTCGGGACGGCAGGCTCCTGGCCACCAGCCCGCAATCTGCAGAAAGGTATGTGTTAAACTGTAACAAGAGTCAGGGCTTCATTGTCTGGAGCACAGAGGCTTACAGTCTGATAGCTTCATTTGTGCACGGGGGTCCGGGACACGCTGGGTGTAGTTTACACTCAAACAACAATCTAAGTCCTTTTTAAAAAAGGCCCCTGCTGGTAGAAATTTGTGGGAAAAGCACCTTTAACACCAAAGAATGCCCACAGGGCCAGGACTGAGGCTGGTGGGGAGTCCTCTCAGTGCTCCGTTTGTTACATCAAGCTTGTCCTTTGTTCCCTTTCACTGTGTGAATGATTGCAAGGCATCGCTGAGATTCTGCGAAATAGTGCATCACTCTGTGAGAACGAACGGCTTCGACGGCTGAACCCGCTGGCATGCCAGAGCTGAGAGTTTTTCCGGAGTGGGCCCCGTCTATAGGCGCACACGCTGCACACGCCGTGTGTGAAGATTCTGTGAAGATGAGTGTTTTTAGCTGTGTTATTCGACATAGCGTGGTTTCTCACCGCATTTGTGAATGGCATTTCCCAAACTGACAACAGAAGGGAAAGTGCTTGATATGGTTTGCATTTTAAATTGCAGGATATAGAGTGCAATGTGCTGGAACCTACAGTGTTTCACTTTATTAATGTTTTCTTAATTAACCTGTGAATATATAATTGACCAACAACTAGACATGTGAACATGTAAAATATGTACAATCAAGAAACTCAAACAGCAACTTTTTAACCCTGATTAAATGAATTAAATAAATGTAACTCACGGCTTTGAGCAGCTGGCAAATAATGTATCATCCTGCACTATTTGTCTTGAGTGAAATGTATCTAAAATGTCTGTGGGAAAAAATAGGAAGTAGGCCTGTCTACCAGGTCACTGTTTAAAAACGGATGGGGAACAACACGTCAGACCTCAAAACGCTGCCATCTCGGGCATCCTATTAGTTACAAGCAACAGACGGGGAGACTTCCAATGAAAAAACGACAAAGTTCGTTCAAACCAAAGAACCTAAAAGTTTCTGATGGTTCAGTGATTTTATTTTTTTTATTTCCTGGTTCTGCTGAGTCATGTAGCATGTACAACTTGACTTTCAATTTTCTCCACCTGTGAATGTATTGTATAAGACCCCTCCCATGAAACATGAGATAATCTCCAGAGGAGGTTTGAGCACTGCAAAGTGCTGAGTCATGGTGAAAATCCAGCGCTGGCTGCTAATCGGAAAGGGATTTTGGAAAGAGCCAAGGCAAACTTTGTCCATATTGCAACATGTTTTAAATTCTTAGGGCCACATTGAATAAATATCTTGATCTTTTTTTAAGAATTATCATCAGGTTTTAAAAGCAATGCAGATGCAAACAACAGAACAATACAAGTCTGAGGCAGAGGTGAGTCGACAAAGAGAGCACATGTGAATCGGCATGGAGACAGTACAGTGGAAAAACTTCATTGCCCTGACTTGTTTTGAATGTATAGAAAGAATGTAAAGTGATTATCTATTTTAATGCTTAAAGAAAACTACGGTCCACTCTCTTCAAGTTGAGCCAGTGCTGAGTCATACTAAAGTCTTACATAGACATTTTACTTAGAAAATGAACAAATTCTCACTTCCACATTGTCAAAAAATAAGGTTTACGTATCACAACTGACATGTGAAAAAGAAAAGCTTTTTTATTTTTATTTGGAACCCCTAATCTGCAGTTGTGCTTTGGACCTGTTGTTCCATTTTTGTTTTGGGTTTCTCAGGCACTGTTTGTTTCCTTCTAAGCATCAAAACTACTGGGTTTCAGAAAAGAATAATGGTTTCGGCTAAATACACCCTTTGACAATGATAACCACATGTTGAAAAGAAAACTTTTCCAATCTGCTCTAGGGTGAGGGTTAGGGTTATTTTCTGTTAGGACAATGCCAAAACAGCAACGGTGACATCGCCAGTAGAGAATCCATAGTTTCTGCCTAATCCTGACTTTGACCAAATCCCAGCATGCAACTAAAAAGCTTGCATGTTGCTTGTTATTTTCCTTGAGTTTCTCTCAGCACATTTTGCTTCGCCATCCCGGCTATCCCTGTCAGCAAGAGGTAATGGGATGGCCCCTAAAACCTGTCTGATCTCCAACGGCTTTATATGAACATGAGGGGCCTGCTGTAGTTATTTGCGGATTTACACTGTGTAATCAGACTCACATGCCCTGCAGAGGCCATCATCCCTGTCTGCCACAGCCTGCTTCTGATTACTAATGTTCTTCTATCTGAATCAAAATATCAATATAAGTTACAACAGAGCGCCGAACATTTTAATGTTGTGTACACAACTAAGCTGCTAAGAGCATTTTCAAGCATGTGGTACATGTAAGCCACTGGGCAAACACAAAGTAAGGGGCTCTTTGATAAATAAATCAGTTCATCTAACACCAAATGCGTTAGGCAGGAGAAAAAGCACAGAGTCATATTTGATGTGAACACATTTCATGCCCTCACAAGCACGATAGAAAACAACTGTTTCTTCATATAATCACAAAGTGACTTAACGGTCGTTGGATCTGGGCTCTGTGGGCGCAACACCCTGAGGATGAAAGGTTTTTCTGTCTCCGTGTTGCTGTTTGGTACCAGTCACATGGCATTTCCTGCTGGTTTAGCGTGGCCTGCCACCTCAAGTGTTGTGAACGTATAGATGTGGGCTGTTGTGAGCATCTAGAGGGGAAATTTTAAAACCTGTAATCGCAATTATTTTTACTCAACTTTGGCCTTTAACATTTCTTCTTTGCTAACTTGAAAAAAAACCAAACTAGGCATTATTACAACAATGATACTATTTTTGTGCAGCTACGCATCTTCCTGTTTTTGTCACGCTCCTCCCTTACACTCATAAAACCACAAATGGGCTGATCCACCCACCACGTGCAGTTAAGGAATCAATTTAAGAGTCTCCTTATGTGTGTATCCAGCAAATATTCCAAAACTAAGTTAACAATTCTGAGATTAAGTCTACTTTCTATTTAGCCTGCGACTGGCAGGTTTTAGGTGGCCATAAAATGTTGTTATCGCAGCAGGAGAAATAGTTTTTCCTTCCTCTGCCTCTGGCTTCTCACAGTTCTGAAACTGGATCTGTCTGCATGCCCTCTCTGCAATAAGCAGCGTCAGTTACCTGAGAGAGGTCGTAGCTGTGAAAAATACTCCCACAAGGGGGATCAGGACCTTTAGTCCGCCCCGCCGTCAGAGAGGAGCGTTACACAACACGAGCCTGTTCCAACGAACGCATCACCATATTGTGTGAATTTGTATGTGCGTGTGTCGGTGGATCTGAATGAATGACCCAGATTAGGCCGAGGTCAATCGATGCACAGATAACACCAGTCTGCCGGGTTCTGTTTTTTTTTCTCTGTGCTTCTGCACAGCCTTGCTACAATTTTTTCATTTGGATTCAATTCAGTTTTAGTTATTTTGTGCTAGGTCACATTATGCTACCTCTGGACATTTTCCATTGTAAATGTTTGCAAATGAAATTTGACAGTCTTCCACAAAATGCTTTTCAAGATGTTTTATTAGTGTTTGCATGGTGTACTTCTCCTTGAGTTCAGTTTCTGAGATCACACGACTGCTTAGGGATGCGTTGCCATCTCCCACATTCCAGACACTGATTTTTGTCAAAAGTATTCCACATTTTTTATTCTGTCGGTAAATGTTGTGTCGATACAAAGGTGTTTGTCTGCCTTTGCTGAAACTCGACTGAGAGAAGAGGGGAAAATGAATAATAAATCAATTATAAAATTGGAACAATCTGAACTCTCTGGATTCATTAAACGTATCTTCGCCTGGCAGACACTACACTGTTTTCATGCTAAGGCAAACAATACTAAACCCAAATTTTTGACTAAATGAAGTGAGTGTGGGCTACTACTTCAACCATCCCCAGAAACACAATTATGTTTCAATTATGTTTCACTGGCCAAGGAAGTCTTGTCAGGCCTTTTTTTGTTAGTGTTATAATTAGATAGTACTTATAGCCTTTTCACAAGTGGAGCCTAGACTTATAAATGAAAG